ATCTGTGGGCTGCAGAGACACAGAGCAATGTGGGGTACAAACCTCTTGCTCCTGCTTAGCTGGGAGTGGGGTGCCCTCTCCCAGGGGCTCCAAAGCCTCTCCACGGCTCACAGCACACACCAACACGCAAAGGACAAAGTGCAGCAACACTCACCACAACAGCAAGGCTGAACTCCCTGGCCAGTGTCTTCAGCTCCCGAGACAGCTGCATCATGATGGCCAAACCTGGAGGAGGACAAAGCACTTGGGTGTTTGGGGATGGACCCACAAAGTGTATCTTGGAGGTAGGTGACATCTAGATTTGCATGAGCACTAGATCAAACCACGACACTGTCCCAGCCCCAGCTCCAGGCGCAGCACACCTGGGAGGAAGATGCTCTTGATGACAAGCAGAGAGCTCTGCAGCCTCCTGGCACACCCTAAGAGCACAGCTCACCCTCTGACTGCCTGCCACCCAGCAGTGGGTAAATCACAGCCGACACCGAGTCGATCACCACGATCTTGAGAGGCCCCGTGGAGCTCACGACCTGAAAGGAGGGACCGCGTGCCACGTGGAGTTACAAACCCAGCAGTTCTGGAGGTTGTGAGCTGCACAGGGGTTCAAATGCACCCAGGACCAGGTGATCTGGAGTCACTTGCCAGGCACACCCTGCTGCCCTCCCTGCAGCTCTGGGGAGGGGAGAGGGGCCCAGACCTCCCCTCATACCTGCTGTGAGAGGCGATCCCGCAGCTCATGCAAGGCGCTCAGCAGTTCATAGACGTCAAACACACGGACCACCTGGATCCGCTGCAGAGCCTCCAGCTGTGGCACAAAGTGGCATCACCAACAGCCTCACCTCCTCCAGGACTTGTTACATTCCCTCTGCCCCAGCTGCCACCAGCTCTTTGCATTCACACCATGACACAGAGCCCTTATTCTTCCACGTTTGCCTCCACCCTGTGAACACCACTGTCCATATTGCAGGTGGAAGAAGTAACCTGGATCGAGCTCAGGGAGCAAAAGTGCGTGCGACTACGGCAAGTCCTCCCCTTCTCCCAAGGAAAACAACAAAGAGCAGTTGTTGCTCTGAGCAGAGCATCTGTCTGTCCTGAGCACAGTATCCACTGGCCATGGGAGGAAGAGTTTGGACCCAAAAAAGACCATGAGGACAAAGGCAGAGCTGGACAGACAAACCGTCCTTGGGGGTTGTCTGCAGGCAGTTTTAGTGCAAACAAAGGGACCAGCTCCAGAGGAACTTGCCTGCTCTTCCTCATCCTCTGTCTGGGCTTGCAGCATCTGGTAGAGACGGGAGGCAGTGAAACCCCCCGTGGAGTCGAGAAACACGACGTGCTGCTTGAGGCCGAGAGACACAGTGGCTGCAATGCCCAGGCACACCTGGAGGGACAGGGACATGTCAGCCAGGCATCATCTTCACCCCACCTGTCCTCTCCCCACTCCTCCATCCCACTCACCTGCGTTTTCCCACTGCCTGGTGCTCCCATGAGCTCCGTCACTTCCCCCGTGTACAGCCCAGAGTCCAGCAGCTGGTCCAGGCTAGGGGTGGAACACAAGGTGGGATTACCAACACCCTTTCAGCCGGAATGGCAGGGGCATCAGGAAGCAGCAGTGCCCAGGCACTTGTCCCTAGAGTCCCCTTCCCAAACACAGACAAGCCCCTGGACGTGGCGTGGACACCACCAACCCTGCTCAGGGCATCACCACACTGAACCTCGGAGCCTGTGCTGGCAACCAGGGCCTTGTGCGGCAAGCCCAGCCCTGGGGAAAAGGGTGATGTGCCCACCTTGGGCTCCCAGTGGGCAGGATGGCCGTGGAGCTCTTGAGCTCCTCATACAGGTCTGCTCCGTTGGCAGGGAAGGCAGAGAACTGGGCCAGGAGCACACGTCTCACTGCGACCAGCGCCTGGGGGGCAGAGAGGTGTCTGGAAACAGGACTGAGCAAGTCCAGGGCCAACATCTGCTGCAGAAGCTGCTCCCAGACAAGGCCTTTCAAGCCATGAGGGGATCAGCTCCGAGCTCCCTGCTTAATCTACCAGGACTTAGGAGTCCTGTTTACCTTGTAGGACAGGGAACACTTCTGGGCAACGTCCTCCAGGTCTGATGACACAAAATCCACCGCTGCAAACAACATGAGGTACAAGAGGTTGGAAGCCAAACCTGGTCAGACCAAGAACACTGGAAGTGTCTGTGCCCTCTGCCAACACTGCAAGTGGAGGAGCAGGATATCCCACATTTGAGTTTTTTCTTTGAGATGGCCCTGTCACCCATCGCAAAACAAAGTGTTTCTTGCAAAACAGATCAGGGAGATTCGCTGGTAAAAATTCTCCCTGTTTTGCTCAGCTGCCCAGTACCACCTTTTCCTTCCCCTCTAAGGGCAGGAGGTGGCCAGGGTGCAGTGTGGGAGGAACCTGCACTTTTGTCAGAGGGAAAACTGCACAAATCCTTCCAAAATACCTTTGAAAAGCCATCACTGATCAACCCTCAAAAAGCTTTTGCAGAGTTGTCCACTATGTCCTTACACTGATACCCTCCTGAATTGTTATATCCACCCAGGGGGACCCAGAAGACATCCAGCAAGGAGGACATGGAGGGATATTCCACCAACACCGCCCTTCCAGGACGTGGGATGATGTGGGCACACCAAATGTGCAGGGGATGATGTTCCCCAACCCGAGACACCGATGCCACCCCGTTACCCGTCCTGATGCCATTCGCCCTGAGCAGCTGGATCATCTCTTCGGTAAGCCCAGGGCAGAGCCCAGCCCGCAGGACCACCATGTCCACAGCCACGGGGGCGGGGGAAACCTGTGGAGGAGAGTGGTATCATTAAGGTTGGAAAAGACATCTCAGATCATCAAGTCCAACAGTGACTGAGCCATGTCCTGCCCTGGGCGGTGCATGCCCCTGGAGCTGGGGAGAAGCCGGGCAGGCTGTGTCAGGGACGGGTGGTTATGGGGGGGTGTTTAGGGTCCTTTTAGGGTCCAGCATCCCCAAACTTCGCACGGGAGCATCGCCGCGGCTGAGCCAGCGGCTCCTGCTCGGGGAGGGCTCAGCGGGCGGGGGGAGCCCCATCCCCACCCCTATCCCTGTCCAGCAGAGCCCCTCGATGAGTGTCCCAGCCCACCCTCCATCCCTGCGCGGGTACCCGGCCCTGCCCGCTCCCTTCCTGCTTCCTGCCGCCAGCGGAAGGGCCGGGACGGCTCCTGTGCCCGCTCCCAGCGCTCCCAAACCCCACCGGGCTTCCCTCCCCCGGCCCCTCCGCCTGGCTCAGCAGAGCCCGGGGCACTGCAGCCAGTCAGATCATCCCGGGATTCCGGGATTTCCCCAGGACTGGGTCTGGCCAGGCTCCTCAGTGGGGGCCGCAGGGTGGGAAATGAAGGTGCACGGAGGGCTGGGGGTGTTCACAGCCCTGCAGGTGTGGGGAGCCGTGAGCCCTTCCCTGGCTGCCCGGGGCTGGAATTTCTCCTGGAAAAGCCTTCTTTTTTTTTTTTTTTTTAATTATTATTATTTTTTCTTCATTATTTTTTCTTTCTCAGCCGAGGCCTGAAGAGGGCCCCCGGCACTCACTGCTGAGCCTGCCCTGCTCACCCTGCGCTCTCAGCTCTGCCCTGAGCATGAGCGGCATCAAACAACTCTTGATTTTGTAACTCGGTTTACCTGCACTACCTGCTGTGCTGCTGCTTCTGACAATGAGCTATCATTCTGGCTGACGTGAGAAAGGCTGTGCTGGATCCCAGGAGTACTGAAATGAAGCCAGACGAGCCTTCCCTGGCACCTAAAGTCACATGGTAGTGGGTTTCTGGTGTGTTGATGATCCATGTAAATCCTAGAAAAACCATTGCACTGAGTCTATCCGAGGCAGGGAGGGCCTCTTGCACCTTCCACAGCTGCTGTCCTTGTGCCTTGGACATACCCCCAAAGAGGTTATGGTGTATGAGCTGCCCTTGATGCAGTGCCTGCAGCTGCAGTGCAGGTGATTGATGCTGTGAAGGGATTTCCAAATTACTCTGGAATCGCCTCTTGCCTGGATACCAGGGGCCAAGCAGTGTCCCTGGTGCCAGGTGAATAAAATAGGAGACCTGGCAGGGCAGTCTTGTGCCAATTCTTGCTGTGTAAGATCCACAAACCACAACACAGATCACAGAATTAAAGACAATGATATTTTCCCTCTTGGCAGGGTCTCTGATCAGTCCATGCTCTCCCCATCCTTCTGCCAGTTTCCCTATTTGCTTTACAGTGGGATGCTGATGGGGACACTTGGGAAGGCAAGGCCTGTGTTTTCGGGGAGATAAATCCCAAAGCAGAATTCCTGCTTGAGTGTGACCCCTGGGAAACGGGGTGTGTTGGAAGGCTCAGCTCTTTTGGAGCTCAGTGCTGCTCTGCCTACTGGTGTCACTCAAAACTGAGCCCTGAGCCACTCATCACAGCAGTGGGCCAGTATGTTCCAGTACAGTCCGTGTTCCAGCCTGTGTCAGTAGGCTGCTGAAAAAGGGGAGGTGGCAGTGGGTGAGCTTTCCAGTGGGATGGGCTCCCAAGGGCCCTGTGAGAAGGAGCAGGCAGCACTGGGTGTCAGTCAGCTTTCCATCCCAGGGAATTCTGGAAGGTGCTGGGCGCTGCTGCAGCTGCTGGCATGGGGCCGCTTGTCCCCGAGACTCAGCTGTCTCATGCTTCCCTAAATAGAAAGGGAAAAGGGTCTGAGCACTGTGACGGGGGTCAGCCATCCCAGCCGGGGGCTTTTTTGGCATGAAACCCCCCTGTTCCTGCCCCCCACACCCTGTGGGGCTCTGCAGGCAGAGGGAAGCTGGGATTTGCCCCAGCAGGTGGGAGAGGATCCCCTCTTGCTGCAGAGAGGTGCTGCCCACGTGCAGGCAGGTGCCCCCCCGAGCTGGCCCTGGCTCCCAGCCCTCCCCAGGCATATATAGCACAGGGGGACAAGGAGGGGACAGGCTGTGGTGACAGGTGATGCTGACAGACAGCAGGAGCTGCCAGGTCCTGCCCAAACTTGGAGTGGGAAGTGAGTTCTCTCCTGAGCCCCACAGACTCTCCGTAGTGCTGGCAGACTTCTTCAATTCCTTTTCTTGTTGTTGCTTTCCTTTCCTGTATTAATTGACTCCTAAAGACCTACAGCAGTGGGAAAAGCTTCTGAGAAGTCACAGCCTGGAGGAGCAATTTAGGTCTTAATTTTCAAAACTCTTCGGTCTGGTAAGCTGCTTTTATTAATATGTGTGTTAATTATGTGTCAGTCTCGTGGTGAAACTCAGCTTGGGGCAGTAGGGAGGCGACCTCGGGTGACACAGGCAGTTGAAAATGGGACCCAAATTGATGTTTTTCCTTAGAGCTCTCCAGATGGAGGATCCCATCCAGCTGAAGGAGGAGGGCAATAAATATTTTCAGGCCAATGACTACGAGAAAGCCCTTCAAAGCTACACTCAAGCCTTAAAGCTCAACAAGGACAAGGCGCTGCAGGCGGTGCTGTACAGGAACAGGGCAGCCTGCTTCCTCAAAAAGGTGAGAAAAACTCCCAGTTCTCCTGGGCAGTGCTCAAGGGGAGAAGAGCAGGGAGGCTCATGAGTTGTGCACTGTGTGGTTTGTCTATTTATTGAATAGGGTGTTTGCAAACTGGTCTGAAATAACATGTTCTGGGCTTGTGCTGGAGCTGTAAAGCTGCCTCCTTGCTTCCGTCCTGATGGGGCTGAGCATGCAGGTTCAGCTCAGAGATGGTCCCACTTATTCACTTTGAAGCAAAAGCTTTTGGCAGCCAGGCTGCTCCCCACTTACCAAAGAGCTCTGTAAGCCACAGCTTGGGATCACTCTTGCTGTCTGTCCCAGCAGAAGGAAAGCAGGGGAAGATATTTGGTAAAACAAAAAGTTATTGGTATCTGTACCCAAATTGTCTCAGCTTGTAGTGGCCTGTTGTGGGAATTTAGCAGATTGCTTGCATGTTCCTGAATTTTCACTAATCCAGAAGTGACACCAACACAGACCAAGGCTGTTGTGAATATTCCCTCTTCCTTCACTGCCCACTGTCCTGCTGCATCCTCAGCAGAGTGTGTTGTCTCACCTGCACCATGCACCCCTTCCCTTCCATCGGTGATGCAAAGGTACCTCAGCTCCCCTTCCCTTCCACAGGCTGCTGCTGGCTTCACTGGGATGTCCTCTAAGGAAGTGGGAACAGAGGGGTCAGTGTCCATCAGGAATGGGGACATGCCCTGCTATTCCATGCCTAACAACTCTCTCCTATCTGGTTTAACAGGAGGAATACGCCAAGGCAGCCTCGGATGCGTCTCGAGGTGAGGAGGGGGCTGTTTTGAGAGAGGAGAGCTGTATTGCTGGGTACATGTGCTCAGCCTGCTCTCACATCTGCTTTTGGGACACTGTGGCCTTATCCCTTGATGTCCAGTAACACCCAAGTGCTGAGGCCACAAGGGAATCACTGGAGGTTCAAAAGACAACATACCAATTCTGTGGGATGGTGCAATCGGCGCTAATCAGGCACCGACTCATGCACGATGTTAATAACAAAACAAATCCCAGTTTACACGGGCAGCAAACTTACCCCAGCAGCAAACTCTGATGCCTGGTGTTTTGGATCCCTTTCCCAGCTATCGACATCAACGCTTCAGATATCAAAGCCTTGTACCGGCGCAGCCAAGCTCTGGAAAAGCTGGGGAAGTTGGACCAAGCGTTCAAAGATGCTCAGAAATGCGCCACCATCGAACCCCGCAACAAGAACTTCCAGGAGACCCTGAGGCGGCTGGGGGCCAACATCCAGGAGAAGGTAAATGCTGGAGGAGCAGTCCTGGATTCACGGGCCAGGTGTGGGAAGTCCTTGCTCTGGGTTATACCAAGGGGTTGTTGGTCATACTGGAAACTTGTAATAATGTAGGGGGGTGAATAGGCTCCATTAACTGGAAGTTCATTCTTGATGTGTGTAAATCTGAGGATTGGGTTGAATGGTTGAATTAAAAAGTGTGGCAGCTCCCTCCAGAGGCTGGCCTGCTCCTGAGTGTCTTGAAAGGGTCTTGGCAGGGAACTGGGCCAGCTTTGGACTGGGTCTGGCAGTTGCCACATTGACACAGTTAGCTTTACAGGGCTGCTGTGAAGAAGCCCTTGAACCACTAGGTCTCACAAATAATCATTTAGGGCTGTCTCTGTCCATGCCCATGAATCTGAGGTGGGTGATGGATGCTGATAGCTGAGAGGTTATTTTGTTGTTCAGTCTAACTTGTCTGTGATTTGAGGGTCTGGGGTGTCCTTGAAGTAGAAAGGAAAACTTCTCCTTGATTTTCTCCCTGTGATGCTCCATGCCCTCTCTCCCTTGGCACAGCTGCGCATTCAGTTCTCCACGGACTCGAGGGTGCAGAAGATGTTTGAAATCCTGCTGGATGAGAACAGCGAGAAAGAAAAGCGAGAAAAGGTGAGAACTGCTCTGCACTTGGCAAAAGGGCTGTTTAATGTCAGAGGCTGCACCAAGGGGCAGAACAGAGTTCCTTTCCCCACCTCTCCTGGATGGAGGATGAGGGAAGGAGATGGGAAAAGAACTGCCCTCAGAGGGACAGCTGAGACCCCTGGTTCTTCTGTCTCCCACCCAGGCTGCAAACAACCTCATAGTCCTGGGGCGAGAGGAAGCAGGTGCCGAGAGGATTTTCCAGAATAACGGAGTCAACTTGCTGCTGCAGCTGATAGAAACCAAAAATCCTGAGCTGATCCTGGCAGCCGTGAGGACACTTTCGGGGATGTGCACAGGACATAAGGCTCGGGTAAGAACAGGATGCTTGGGACCCTTGCTGCTATTCCCTCACACCTGGGGGAGTGGGAAATTGCAGTACATTTGTGAGCAGTGGGGAAAAATTAAAACTCTTCCTTGCATTGACTCAGGAATCACTGAGGAAAATAGATTCTTTGTCCCAGCTGAGCCTGACCCTTCTGAAGCACAGAGGAAGGAAAGGCCTTTGCTAACACTGCCCTGCTCTCTCCAGGCCACTGCCATTCTCCATTACCTGGGCATCGACAGCATTTGTATGTGGATGTCGGTAGACAACGAGGAAATCTCCCTGGCTGTCTGCAACCTCCTGCAGACCATCATTGACTGCCTGCTGGGCCAGGGCAAAGAGGAGCACCACGGCAAGGAGGAGGCTGTTGTGTTAGGTAACAGCACGTGGGGATCCCTCTATCCAGCTGGAGGAGAAGTGGGGTGAGCAGAAGAGCTCTGCTCCTGGGATATCCACCCTATTCCTCGTTCTTTGGTGTAGTGGGGCCTTTACTCTTCATCTGTCCAGGATGACAACCTGCACACAGCTCTTATCCTCATGCATAACTGAAATACCTCTGTCCAAGCCACACAATGGCTCTGCATGGTTTTCACTGGGTTCAGCTGCTTTCAGAGAGAATTTCTTGTAACCGGCTGCTGCTGTTTTGCTTCTGTGCAGATACTAAGAAAGATTTGAAGATGATCACAATGCGTTTGCTGGATATGCTGGTCAGCAAGAGAGTGTCTGGGCAAGGGCGAGACAGAGCTCTCAACCTCCTCAACAAGAACATACCGAGGAAGGACCTGAAAGACCACGACAACAGCAGGAGCATCTTTGTCATCGACAATGGTGAGCCCTTCCCTACCATCCCGTTCTGATTTGGGAGACGTGGAGCTGTGTGTTCTTGCCTGAATATCTGTAGAACTGATCTTCTCTATAAAATAAATCCTGAAGCAAAGTTAGACTTATTAGCAGGAAACAGTATTAAGAGAAAAAACAACCCCGTGTATGAGAACAAGAATTTTTGAGTTTCTAAAGAGTTGACTAACATCTCTGGTTAGTTTTTTCCAGTGCATCTGCTAATGTTAGGAGGATTTGGCTTGGATAAATTGTCTAGTTTAGGCAGAATGAGATGAGCACCTGCTGAGCTTGGTGGATCCACGAACCGATCAATTCTAAAACTGGGCAAGGGTGAGGGATTTGTGTGCAGTGTGTTTTTATACTGATTCTAATGCGTGTTACCGTTCTGATGGAAGCTATTTAATTACAGGTCAGCAAAAGGAGGGTTAAGACATCCAGAATCACTTGAAAGTCGCTGAGTTTTCCTCAGTCAAAGCCTCCAGCCTTGGAGGTCAGTGGGTTTAATGCCTCCTGACAAAAATAACACAGCCAGCCAGGAACCTAATGCAGTTTTGCTTATCTCAGTCTGCAAGCTGGAAAAAAGCCTGATGCTGCAAACCCAGCAGTATCTCACCAGCAGAAGCTCCTCCCCAGTGTATATCTGAATGTCTTGTCTGTTTAAGACTTATGTGATTAGGCTGCAAAATAATTGAGAACCATCCAAGCTGGATATTTCACGGCAAGAAACCAGCAAATGGTATCTTGAGTTTTGCACAGACCCTTCCCCCTGTAACAAGCTGTGTCACTCCATTGCTTCCAGGCTTAAAAAAGATACTGAAAGTGGTGGGCCAGATTCCTGAGATGCCTGACTGCCTGCCCCTGACAGAGAACACCCAGCTGACTGCCTCTGTCCTCCTGAATAAGCTGTACGATGACCTGCGCTGCGACCCGGAGCGTGACAACTACCGGATCATCTGCGAGGAGTACATCAAGTGAGTTGGGAATGGCTTCCTGGGAGCCTTGAGGGTGAGATGAGGCACCTGAAGTCCACTTACATTCCAAACTGAGGCTCTGGGAGGTAATGATTTGCCTGAGATCCTGCTGGATCACAGCCTTTGCAGGAATCTGGGCTCAGCTCTGTCCCAGATACCAATATATTTCAGCAGAGGAACTCACTTCCCAGTCTGAAGGAGGGCATTCCCTGCCCAAGGGAACGAGAACTGTAAGTAACTCCTGTCCCATGTGCTACTCCCTCTATCCCATGCAGGAGCAAAATCGACCCACAAGACATGGATAAGACACTCCATGCTGTCCAGATTGTGTCTGGAGTTCTGCAGGGGCCCTTTGACTTGGGCAACAAGCTGCTTGGCATGAAGGGAGTGATGGAGATGATGGTGGCCCTGTGTGGGTCCGAGAGGGAGATTGACCAGCTGGTGGCTGTGGAAGCCCTCATCCATGCCTCCACCAAGCTGAGCCGAGCCACCTTCATCATCTCCAACGGGGTGAACCTCCTGAAGGAGATCTACAAGAAGACCAAGAATGAGAAGATCAAAATCCGAGCCCTGGTGGTAAGGATGCAGCCCTTGCCCTTATCACCCCCACCCTTATCACACTCACCAGCTTAACCCCAGACTTGGGAGAGTGGGGAGGTCCTGGGAATGGGTTGGGTTCACTAACCTCAGATGGGTAATGGTTTACTGTGTTTCCCCCTACAAGGAAGAGGGCACATGGATTACTGGTAATTTTGAAGGCAAAACTGATTAATCTTCCATTTAAGGCATCCAACAGGAGCACAAAACATCCCTTTGCTGTGCTGCAAACTGAACGATCTACTGGCTGTTAGGATGCTTCCTCTTTGCTAGAACTGACTTCACACTTCAGGTGTAGGGTTAGGCTATTTTGGGCAGCCACGCGAGAGGGTTAATGAGCCTTTCTCACTGGTAAAATATTTTCATCCTCCTCAGGGTCTCTGCAAGCTGGGCTCAGCGGGAGGCACAGATTATGGCCTGCGGCAGTTTGCTGAGGGGTCCACTGAGAAGCTGGCCAGGCAGTGCCGAAAGTGAGTGACTTCACCTATTTCTTCAGTTGTCCTGTGCTCTGCAAAACACAATATGTTCCTTTTTCCCATGAGATCCTGCCAACACATTGCCTTCGTTTCCTGTTGCTGCCTGACAGCTGACAGTGCCCCCAGAGCCCCTGCACTGGGATCAGGCACTTCTGTGCCTGAAGCAACCACATGTTCCTCCTGCCTCAACACCCAGATGAGCCTTCTCCCCAGCTCACTGCCCGTGGGAGACACCAGGCATGGTGCCTCTCTCTTTGCCAGGGTGGTACAGCCTGATCAAGTGCTACCTTGCATAGGCACAAGTCCCTTCTGAAGGTGGATTTATCATGTGGACTAACCAAGGAGGTGGGATGAAGTCAGACTGAATGGGTGGTCATTCCTGCAGGCAGTGGATAGCAGGGCATCCCATGTTTCATGGGAGAGTGAAGGCAAAGCAGTGCCCAGTAGCTGTCCTGGTCTGCCTTCCCCTGCAGCATTTACATCCCTCAAGCTGGGCCATGGGAGGAAGGTCATGTCTCAAAGGGAAGCATCCACAGTCTTAGGAGCTGCAGCTGAACCTGAGGACATGTTCGGGCCTGAAACAGTCTCAATATCTGTTCTTCCTCCCTCTTTTTCCAGATAAATTAGTCCTGACTCCTGAGATGGAAATGTGGATGTTTTTCTCTTTTCCAGGTGGTTGTGCAACACCACCATTGATGCCCGCACCAGGAAATGGGCTGTGGAAGGGATGTCATATCTCACCCTCGATGCAGATGTGAAAGATGACTTTGTTGAAGATGAGCCAGCCCTGAAAGCTATGTTTGATTTAGCCAAGGTCTGTCTCCTTTCCTTCTTCCCTCATTTCTCTGGTAGCATCAAGTTCTCCCAGCTCTCCAGAGCTGTCTCCCAAGGCAGGAGGGGCTGTGACACCCAGTCCCTCACCTCTAGTTTAACAGAACTTCAGTTTTGCCTGTGCCCTGGTGACACCTCAAGGCTGCTACCATCCTGCTCTTCTCCCCAGCCTGAGGATGGTTGCTCCTACCTTTACTGTCAGCAACTGCATGAAAACCAAAGCACCAAGGTGTTGACAGCACTGATGATGTGAAAACAGCCTGTCTGACCACAAAAACTTTGGGGTTTCCATGCCACGGGCTATAAAGTTGTGGATAAGGCTCAGAACGCTTCAGCTAGTGCAAACCACCATGATGGCAGCCCAAAGGACCCCTTTCCCTGCTGTGTCCTCATCACCTCACGTAAGCTTTTATTTGTCTGTGCAGACAAGCGACAAGACCATCTTGTACTCTGTGGCTTCTGCTCTGGTGAACTGTACCAACAGCTACGACACCAAGGAGCTGGTCCCAGAGCTGGTGCAACTGGCAAAATTCTCCAAGCAGCACGTGCCTGAGGAGCATCCAAAGGTGGGTGGTGTACTGCTGGGGAGCTGGAGGAGCTGCTTGGATCTGATAACTATCTTTGGTGTATCCATTGCCACAGGCTTCAGGTCTCCTGGCCTCGAGGCTGAAATTGCTTTGCTCTCCAGCTAGGCTTGGCTCTCGTTGGCAGAACAGCAGCTGCCCAGGGCTGATCCTTTTCCAATGTTCCCCCCTCAGGACAAGAAGGATTTTGTGGTGAAGCGGGTGAAGCGGCTGCTGAAGGCCGGGGTGGTCTCTGCCCTGGCCTGCATGGTGAAGGCAGACAGTGCCATCCTGACAGACCAGACCAAGGAGCTCATTGCCAGGTGCCTCTGTCATTGTCCTGGGAGCTGGGAGCGCTGGCCAGCCCGTGTGCCATGGAGAGGGACACCTGGGCTGGCTCCTTGTTCATGGGGTGGGGCACTCTGCCTGTGGGGGAGGGACAAAAGGGAGGCGGAGAAGAGATTTAAACCAACATTTTTGTTAAGCAATGTCATAAAAATCAACGTTCTGACCTGGAAGCAGGTTTACAGGGCTGCCTTGCTAGGATGCACTTTGATTTTTTTAGTCCTCTCTCCTGGTTTTGATAAGAATAGGGTTCATCTTACAGGCCTGGAAACTTCTTACTGTGCCATTTGTTGTTTCCCCTTGGAGAGCCACTGGGTTAAACACCTGGCATTTGCCTGGTGGCTCTGGCAGTCCTGCAAAACCTCAGACCCCTTCCATGAGGGGTTGCTGTCCCTCGTGGCTGTTCCACTGAGTGCTGCTGTGCTCCTACAGGGTGTTTCTTGCCTTGTGTGAAGACCCCAAGGACCGTGGGACCATTGTCGCTCAGGGAGGTGGAAAGGTGATTACTTTTCTGTGCAGTTAATGTCTGTTGGGAGCCTGTGACGTGTCTCCAGTGAGGGATGGTGACAGAAAAGCACGAGCTGCCCTGGTAGCCCCTGGGGCCACACTGACACTCCAGCCCCATCTCTGCAAGGCTGCAAAGAAGTGATGTTCTTGGAACAACTGTGTGTGAGCTGCAGGTGCTGGTGTGGTGCCTACTGGAGTACAAATTGTCACTGCGAGCTGCAGTCCAGACCCATTTCTTCAACAGACACATATTTAGGATATTTCAAATTTATTTTAGAATATTAAGGCAACCCTGTAAATCTCCTCAGAGCACTGAATGCTTTCCTGTGTGTCACCAGGCTCTGATACCTCTGGCTGTGGAAGGTACAGATGTTGGCAAGATAAAGGCTTCTCACGCTCTGGCAAAAATTGCTGCTATCTCCAATCCAGACATTGCATTCCCAGGGGAGAGGGTAAGCTTAAAAATAATAATTTTTTTTAAAAAATTAATAATTCCTTTAGCAAATAAAAATCTGAGAGCTGGAAAAGCAGTGACATGCCTTCTCTTTGTAGGTTTATGAGGTGGTGAGGCCCCTCGTCAGCCTGCTGAACACAGAGAGAGATGGCCTCCAGAACTACGAGGCTCTACTGGGTCTCACTAACTTTTCAGGAAGAAGTGATAAACTTAGGTGAGTTTAACTGCTTTTTAACTTTCCTTCTTCTTCAGGAGTGAATGTAAATTATAGTTCATCACTTTTCATCAACTGACCATGAAGACTGGTCAGTTTGAGCTACCTTTGGCAGAGCTACACGGGTCTCAGAGCTCAAAGATTAATAAAATAGGAAAAGGAGAGTGGCACATTTTCCTCTAGGAACAGGAAAGACATGAACCAAATCTGCATTAGACCGGGAATGAACCACATCATGAGCTCCACTGCTGCAGGCACTGATTTGTTTCAAGGCCTTCCCTGCAGTTCCTACTTGGTAAGTTGGTTATTGCTTGACCCATAACGTGCTTTATTTGACTGCTCCTCAACACAGGTTGAAGATAGTCAAAGAGAAGGCCCTGCCAGATATTGAAAACTACATGTTTGAGAACCACGACCAGCTTCGACAGGCAGCCACCGAGTGCATGTGCAACCTGGTGGTCAACAAAGAGGTAACTCCCTGGGCACCTCAAACCTGACTGTGTGCACCAGCACATGTGTTATCTCTGGGTATCATGGTTTTTTGTTTTTTTTTTTAGGTTCAGGAGAGGTTTGTGGCTGATGGAAACGACCGGCTGAAGTTGGTGGTGTTGCTGTGTGGGGAGGACGACGAGAAGGTCCAGGTTGCGGCGGCAGGAGCCCTGGCCATGCTTACGGCAGCACAAAAGAAACTCTGCTCTAAGATGACTCAAGTGGTAAGACCGTAACGCTGAGTATTGGCAGGGTGGATGTGCCCTGGAAGGGGCCTGGCTCAGACCATGAACATGCCTCTTAACAGAAAGATTCGGTCCACTAGTTGGATAGTGAGGAGTTTGGTGAAATTGAGACCTGGGTGTGCATGCTCCTGGTCCATATTGATAAATAACCTGAAATCCAAACCTTGTTTCACTCAAAAAATGAGAAGAGCTTGATCAATAACCTGCTGAGCTTTACAGATCCCAAAGCATCTCCTTCCCTGCACAGATCTGTAGGCCCTGAGAACCCAGACCCTGCAGGTTTGAATGTCTCTAAAGAGCTGTGGTTGGGAACTCTGAATCCCATTGTGTTATACACGTGATGATGCTGGACACCGAGGCTTGTTAGAATAAAAATTATTAATCAAGCTAAAAGAGAGGCTCGGGAAGATTGGGGTGGGGGCATGTGTGACCTGCTCCTGGTCATCTCAGCTGTGCCAATATTCTGGTCAGATTCTTTGCACAGAGATTATGCAGCAGCCTGAACGTGAAACACGTTTCATGTGGTGCCAGTGCCACGAAAGGTTCTGAGTTTAGTGTAACAGAAATGGGGTTCAAACGTTTGGAGTCAGGTTTCCTTAGTTAAGGAATGAAATAGCCACAAATGACACGAGTGTTGCTCTTCCTTCTGCTGAGCAGTGCCTTGCCAAACTCGCATTTTTGGTTGGGATACTCTGCAGGTCAATACTAATGATCTCTCTTTCCCTTGAAGACCACCCAGTGGCTCGAAATCCTGCAGAGGCTCTGCTTGCACGACAACATGGAGGTCCAGCACCGAGGCTTGGTCATTGCTTTCAACTTAATCAGCGCTGACAAAGAGCTGGCGAAGAAGCTGGTGGAGTCGGAGCTCCTGGAGATCCTGACCTACGTTGGGAAGCAGGAGGATCACCCCAAGAAGCAGCACGTCATTAACGTGGCGCGTGATTGCCTCACGAGGTGCATGGATTATGGGCTGATCAAACCCTTCTCTCAGGCATGAGGAGGTGAAAAGCAACAAAAAAGGGCTGAGTGTGGGGGGGAAAACGTGCTGTGGAGAAATATGGGAAAGTGAGAGCCATGAGGAGAATCTAGTGCCATTGTCAAGGTGCGGAATAGTTTGAGGACAGCTATGGAGGATCAGAAGCTCTACAAGAAAAAGGAGGGCATTGCCTGAGAAATTTGGAAAGTGTCCATCTGAGTAATTCCCAGAGGGTATAAATCCTTTCTCTGCCCCCATTCAGCTGATAATAGTAAAAACTTCAAGGCCCAGCTGTAAAAGAGTCAGTTGTGTTGGAAATGTTCCAGCAGCCTATTGGAAGGAAACTCAAATGAGGTGAAATCTGTTCTTGAGTTCACCTCCGGCCCCTGGTACTTCTGGAATTCCCAGCAGTGGTGGAACAGAGAGGGTTAAGCGCCTTCTATTCTGCAGTCAGAAAATAGGTTGTGTCTTAGCTGTGTGCTTTTTTGTTCATTTATGGTAAGTGTGAGGATGGTGGATGAACTCAATAAATTCACTACTTTGTTCCATGTGGAATTCCTGTTCCGCTTTTATTAAGCAAAAGGAGAATCTAAGGCAACTGGGTAACTGGAGTAATCTGTGGCACAGGCTGAATTTTCACCCTTTGCAAACTGTCCGGTGCTGCTCAAATGAAGATGCGGAGTCACCACAAAAGGCTGTACGAGGAGGTGACACCAAGGGGTTAAGCTGAGGTTTACACCAGAGCACAGCGGGGGAAATGTTGAAAACATTTCTGAAAAAAGCAGAATGAGAAACAAACACACCAGTTTGTCATCGCATTAAACTTCATTATATAAATATTTTCATTCAAGCACAGATTCTTAATGGATTCTGTGGGCAAAACAAAAAAACAGAGACCCTTGCTTTCCTTCCTGGGGGGAAATCCCTAAGTTTATAGTAAATGTAATCTTACTAAGCAATAATTTAAATGTGAATTCAAGCGCAGTAAAATATTTCTGATAATACTAAATATCAGTGATGCCCACAACAGGCGTAGCATGATGAAATGTTGAGGCTTGGAGGTTAGGAAAGGAACCATGGGGATAGTCTTTCCTTGCATGTTGATTAAGGAAAAAAAATAAATGCAAAGTGCCTCTAGCTTCCTGAATTTAGAAAAGCCTAAAATTTTTTAAGCTAACAGGCTTGATGACCTGAAGGCAAATTTATTTGGAGGGTTATTCCAGCTGTGCGCAATATCTTCTCACTGTGACCACATTCAGTTTACAATGTCAGGAGGAGGATATCAGACCACAGGGTGTGGTGGAAAATATGGTTTGTTTTTAACGACACTGCAAGTTTTGGATACCCAGTTTTAGGGATTTTGAAGCTGCCTTTCCGAAGTACTTTACATTAATTCTGTACAGAGTGTTATCCAACCACCATCTCTGATGCCAAGACAAAAACCCGACATTGGTATTGAAGGGCAAAGTTTTCTTTCTCCCACTGAAGCTTCTCTTTGGAATACCTGGGTTCTACCAATACTAATACTAATCCTGTTGCTGAAACCGAGTGGGGAAACTAGTTATGTAAAAGCCATTTGGCATTTTTTAGCTAAAACATAACAAAACACCTACTTTACACTGACAGAGCCCGCCCACTCCCTCAGGCCCCCTCAGACCCCTCCGGGCGGGAAACGCTCGCACCGCCCCCAGCTTTTGTAACGCGCCTTCCTATTGGCTCCCGCCCGGCCCCGCCAGCAGAGCCGCTCGCTGCCATTGGCTGCTGCCCACCGGGGGGGCGGGACAAAGCCGGGTGGCTCCGGCCTGGCATGGCCGGTTCTGGGAGAGCCGAGAGCGGCGTGAGGGGACACGGGATAACAGGGCTGGGAGAGGGGGTTCAGGGGACCGCGGAGGGGCAGCTCAGGGCTTGGTGTTGAGGGGGACAGGGCCAGGGAGGCTGAGGATATCCGGGGAGCTCGGGGGATGCGGGGCTGGGTTAGGGCGGACGGGGTGTGGGGGGGGGGGAACTGGGAACTGAGGAGGTGCAGGGGCCTGGGGGCCAAATACAGGGAAGGAAATGGGAGAGCGCAAACGTGTGGCATGAGGGATCGGAACAGGCCTCTGGACCCCTGGAGCCACGCTGAGTGCAGCGGCATTCATGGGTATGACACGGTTTTTTTCCTCATTGTACAGCCAGGTCCTGGCTCTCCTGATCTCGGAATCCCCACTCCTCACCTGCCTTCCTCAGTTTGGTTCCAGCAGGAATGCTCGTCCCCTCCTGTGCTCCCCTGCTAAACGTGCTCCTCCTAGGAAGGAGGAAGCCACTTCTCCTAACTTGGCATCAGGCTCCTTATGGAATGGAAATAGATTTGCCCAGAGCAATGATGAGCGAAGTATAGTCTGAACTGGTATTGCTGAGACTCCGTGTCTCTGCTCTGACCAGGGCGTGATCATCTAATCTTCTCTCTGAGCTTCTTTAAGCTAAGCCCGTGTGGAGGAAACAGCCTTGCTGCTTCTTGAAACTTTTTTGATGCACTCCTTCCCCCCAACAAAAAAAAAAAATTATTGAAAAAAAAAAAAAGTTTTTTTTGTTAGCAAATTTTTTAATGGTAGAGAAAGAAAGCCTCGATTTGAAAAATGAGTGGTGCAAATACTTCTTTGGGTCTGTGAGTCTTGCTGCAATGCTGGGTTTAGGACTGAGCTTGCAGTGAGAGAGGGTTCTTGTTTTGTCTGCTATATGGGACCTGGCTCATGAAATTCCAGATGCTCTGCCCCTGTATCTTCTCTGGAAGGTGGAGTCTGAGTGCCTGTCCTGTAGGTGCTCATTAGCAGTTGTTCCAGCTGTATTCTCGTCTAGCAATTGCCAGCACAAAGCCAGGAGTATTTTTGGAATACTCTTGATGAAGTGCAACCCCTTTGGGCCTGGAGGAAAGGCTGGGCTAATTAAGCAAGGAGAGGAAAAGAGAGCGAGCTATTCTCTAACCCAGTTTTTTGTTCTTTTCCAGGTCCTGATGGCACCTTTACATTAATTTCTCTCTTCCTGTGGAGAAGGAAGCGTCTATGGGGAATATACACCTATGGGTAGATTGTGGTGGTTTTCCCTTAACAGGAAAAGATACAAAGAACTAGGAAAGGTTGCTGATACTTTGCTTTTGGAACACTGTGTGGATGAGCTGTGAATGTGCCTCAGGTTCACTAATTATTTGTTAACAGACTTGCAGAGTCAAGTTCTGGCAGTGAAGTGTTGGGCGGCTCCAGTGCTGTTGTTAATGCTGATGAAATTGTACTAAGCAACAACAAAGCATCCTGAAGGCATATATGTGATACATCACTGTATGTAAGTCACAAATTAGTCTGTGAGTCCAAAGGTTGGTTTAATAAAGTTGGTGTTACCTAAAAAAAAAAACACTTGTCTATCTTTAGCCCATCACGGCTTTAAGAACACTATTACAGTTAAAAAGCAGAGAAATGGGAATTTTTCCAAAACCCTCATGGGTTGTGTGGTTTTGTTTTAGAAAATTAAACCTGGTTAATATGTATGTATTTGGCTACCAAGGACAGGTTTTGACAGAGTCAAATCCAAGCTGGCATCCTGCAGCCATCTGCAGGAACACATAAAATCCACCAGGTGACTGCTGAGTCTTGTCACCATTGTGGGCTCGATGCCCGTTACTCAGTAGGGAGTAAAACTCAAAGAGCATTTTAACGTTCAAAAGAGCAATCACAGCTGCTCAGAACTGTGAGGCTTAGATGTGGGTGTTCTGTGGAGGTCTTGGAGCTGCTGTGGGGTTGGCCAAAGCCAGGTTTGGCAGGGACAGGTGCTGTGCAGTGGGGAGGGGAAGGCAGCCAGGGCCTGGCAGGCAGTGAAGAGGAAGAGATTAATCCTGGGAGAAGGAGGTGTAGAGGCCCTGTGGAGCAGTGTGGGATCAGGCAACTCTCTTGTGCTGTTTGGCCTTGAATGAATCCTTCTGGATTAGAGGGAGGATGGTGCAGAACCTGCCCAAGAGCTCTGCAGTGCTGGCAGGTGAGTCAGCATCGGTCAGTCTTCTGTCCCAGGTCTGCCCAGCTTCTGCCTGAGCAGCAGATGGATAATTTGGAAAGCATGGGAAGGACAAAAGGAAAATAAACCACTTGTGAAACTGAGTTTCATCAGTAAATGCTTCGGCCCTTATTTAAACGAGCAGTTGCACTGGAGTCACCAGCACATTAATACCCAGCCCAAGGCCAGCCCTCTGGAAAGTGATCTGAAATCACAGATAATCTCACGCCCTGATGGGATTGCTCTTCCAGTAAGATGTGTGTGCTCTTACCGGCTCTCTGAAGGAAGAGAGGTGTCTTCATGAATCCTGTAACTACTTGAGAAAGGAGAAATGAGACAGTTTTTATTGTTATTCCATAGTGGCACAGATAGAAGGGTCTGGAAGTTGTACAGAGATAATGAGACAAGGGTCAGGGACAAGTCTCCTTTGTTACAATAGGTGTTTTCCAGAGCATCTTTGGGAGGATGCAAATTACTGTATTTTCCCACGTTATTCAATAACCTTGCTATCTTGCTTACAGGTGAGGGAGGATATTGGAGATTTTTATCTTCTGAAGCAGAGCTAAAGTGGGGGGAAAATGAGATGCCTGGTTCAGTGGATTAAATGTCTGAAGATATCTCTTAATCTGGAAAGAACTTGCACTTTGTGCAGCAGACTTTGCTCTTGTGTTCTGTAAGCACTGTCACTGTGATATCTGGAGCGCTGCTGCTCCCTAGAGTCGGGGAAAAAAACCTTCCATCCTGAAAAATCAAGTGTCAAGCAGGAACCAGCCATGGCACACAGTTTTTTCTTTGCTCCTGTGTTCAGTGAAAGGATGTTTTGCATTGATAAGAATGTGCTACGTGGCTGGGACTGCAATAATTGCAATGTAATAGTTAAAAGACTCTCAGTTTACAAAATGCCAATCTTACATCCATTATCATCACATGAAAAGATGAAAGCAGCTTTAGTCTGGTCTCTCTTTTGTAAATAGAGCCCCCAGAGGAGCACACTATTGGATCCAGAAAATAATTAAGTTAGGTTCTCAATCAAGAAGAATTTT